TTAATGAAGTAAAACCAAAAGGGAAGATAATGCTTGCTGACCTGTAATCAGTATTTGACTCATTTGGTACTGGTCCGTCTAGCTCAAATCTTTCAGGTATAAATTCCTCTGCCCTGTCCCAGACCTGTGAAAAAAAATGAAAAATGAATAAGAAACATCATATAATTATCTCTGTGGAAAAAGACACAATTTTCGTATTTCTTCTTATCCTTTATAAAGGAAATAAATCGAGTCTGCTAAATTCCTTTGTTCTTTATTATTAGCTGATTACAAGTCAATATTATTAAAAAAACACTTGCTACAGAAAACCTGATGCCGTTTGAAAGGAAATGACAACATGTTCTCCTTTATTTAAATTTAGCAGGACAATAGTAATTTTATGAGTAAAACTATTAGTTGCTAACATAATAGGATGTTGGCATAGTAGTTTCAAGCAGAGGGCACTCCTTTAAAGCAAGAAGAGCAGAAGAGGGAAAACTGGTATTGCATCAAACATGCAAGAATAGTAAAGTTTGGGAAAGAACAGTTTGATTTTCATATTTTTAAACCACTAGTAATCCTCGAATCTTTTTCGGTTTGCCAACAGATGATATGACTGATGAAACAAGGATGGACTCACAGTTGGAAGTGGGTGTTAGAACATTACAAGATAAAATATATTATACAATACCTGAGATGACCGATGTATATTGTACACCGAAATCATTATATCTTGACCAGTGTTGACTTTATAATCTCCAGGAAGAACATCATCAACTTGAGCTCGTCTTATTAACACCTAGAGACCAAGTAGACATACAATTCAGCAATGTCCGCTATGAACAATGCCAGTGGAAACAAAGTCTGCTGAAGGTTAATAGAAGGGCTTACGACATACAGGAGGATGCGGGTAAAGACGCATTGATTCTTGTATGCAACGCATCAAGTACTTCAACTCTTTGACATCTTCATATCTTGGAAGTCTTCCATGTAAAACATTATCAACCTCTTGCTGTGCTCTAACTAAAGCAGATGGGTTCTTCAATACAACAAAACAAATTTGACAGAGTTAATAAATTTGATGGAGTTGCTTACCAACATTCTTTACAATAAGATAATTGAATTTATTTTCAAATTGATGATTCGTGAGAAAAAATTTTCCTAAAAATACCATTCTTGAAAGTTCAGTTCTAGTATTTTCTTCTATGTCCAAATAGGTAATTTCCTTCATTGTAGACTTAATTATTTTATATCCATAGTTTGAAAAATCAAAACCACCCATTGGATTTTTATCCAATGTCTCAGTAGATTATTCACATGAAATATGAAGTTTAACTTGCAACACTATACAGACTGCTTTAAAAAGCACAAATTGTTGGGATACCTTACTTAAGAGATAAAGTGTCCATGTCAATACCGAACCAGTTGTTTCATGACCAGCTACTAACATCGACAATAAATCATCGCGTAACTGTATGCTTGAAACCTGAAGCATAAGAAAATTATAGTGTTAAACTACAAGCCATCAAAGATGCATTTATGGAACTCATTCTGCGATAAGCCAACAATTGACAGCTTGCAGATATTGACAATTTGTACCTAAATTATCAAGTGAAGAAACTATGAGCCGACTAGAGAACAGAAATCTTAAATGAATAAACTATGAGCCGACTAGAGAACAGAATCTTAAATGATATATCTAACTCTTCAAGATATAACTAAATTGTATCAAAATACAAGCTGAATTAATAATAATTATGGCCCATATAAGATACTTTTTGTATTACATTTTCAGGTTTTTTGTCCATAATATTTCAGTTTACCTCTTTCATAGAAATATCATAATAAATGGGTGCAATACAAAGTTTTGTTTCTACATTCTTCCCAGCCCCTTATTATTTTGGTTTCTTGCAGAGAGAAAGTGTAACTGCAAATACAATACAATTCATGACCTCTGTCCCCTCTTCCAAGGTCTGAGACAGTATACAAGCAAAGGTACACATGCAGATATTTATCAAAACGTTAAATTGACCAAGAATAAAGTTGGATAAGCTATTCTAGCCCTCAGAATTCTAGTAAATATAGAATTGAAGCGGAAAAAAAAGGAATGAAGTTGCACGTAAGCCACCCTAAGATTGAGAATGTAGTATTAGATTAACTTAAATTTTGGGCCTAAACAAACTTGGTGCTGATATCTTTCATTCAAGTGAATTTCTATTATAAAAGTAGCTTGACTATAAAACAATTGCTTAAACAAGGTAATCTAGCGGATGATAAAAAAATTTGCATATAAAATTAAAACATTAGTATAACCATAACCAAAATTTTTGCAGGTAAAATGGGAGCATAACTTTCAAGGAAATTGAGAAACCTCTTCACGACTAGCAAGTAGGAAGCGAAGTATGCTTGGATCTGTGTCATTTACATACTCCTCCCCATCAATTTGTTCGCCTTCTCTCTCCACAATCTCTTTGCACTTTATAATGAGATCTTCGACAGTTTTTCTGATTATGGTAACTGCTCTTTCTGCTTTTATTTGTCTTGGTATGATTTTGCATAGAAAAGGTATCTGCTACATCAATAACGAAGTTACAAATTTACAGCAGTATAAAAAAAGAAAAAACTCCCAAAGATTCAAGGAACAAACTGAGCTTTAAAATCACAAGCAATCGAAAAAGCAAGCTTCTAAAATCAGATCATAGTTGTAAGGTTTGCTAAACGTAAGAAAGAAACGATGTACTTCATTTCTAAACAGAATAACAACTAACTGACTTGTCTGGACTTCATAGAAGGGGAAAGAAAAAAGATGTCAAGGAGTTAACTGCTTTCTCTGGATTTCCATAGAAGAACAAAATACGTTATGTTCTATTTGTGTGTTCTGTTCACTAATGTGCAATGGAACGTATGTAAAGAACATGACGGAGGAAGGACTTAATTATTGATATTTCAAGATAGATGCTTTCTTGCTTCACATCATACAAAACTAATACTCTCTCATAATATTTATTTATTTGGTTGTAAGATTTGGGCAAGTTTTGATGATAATCAAATATAACTTATTAAAGCACCTATTAGAAGTAGACCAAGGAGAACTTTATTGGAAGCAATTAAGAAGGATATAATATTGACTAACTTAATAGAGGAGATAGTCCTTTACAGATCTGAATGGAAAAATTTTATTCGCGTAGCCTACTTGAAAAAGTGGAATAAAGGCTTTGTTGTTGTTGCTACCTAAGATTAATCATTAATCTGTTTGAAATATAAGAGACATTATATATTTCGATTCTCCAATAAGATCATTAAGAATAGTAATCAAGTATGCTCTTCAACCGTTGAAGTTCTGAAGTGTTGCTGAGAAAGCTAGGGTACACTGAGGTGTATAAGTCTGCTTGAGACTACATACAAACACATACATATGCACACGGGACTGAGGAAGTACTTAGCCCAATCCTAGGACCAACATGTCTCTTAGTGACTCGAGGTCAAGTGCATTTAAGCTACTTGACAATTATACTCTTATGGAAAATAAGATAAGATATTTACCTTGCGTACAATACTCTTATTGGCATTGAAAGGCCATAAGATTTAAAACCTGACTTCAACGAGAGTAGGAAGAGTAAGAACAACCCTATGGTAATGACGATGAGATGATACCATTAACTAGCCCAACTATTGTCCAGGAATAACAAACTAGACGCGATACAAGATCGCGATACAAGATGGAATACTAAATTCCACCATAGAAGGTAATGGTAATGACAATGAGATGATGAAATCCATTAACATTGCGTCTATTAACATTATTTATTTCCGATCTTGAGCTACATTTTAACTAATGCAACAAAAATGGTTGTTTACTAGTCTACTACTTGCTAAACTTTTTGACTGATTAGATCACAAAAAGAACTCTATGTTTAAGTAATATTTTTTTATATCAAAAAATTTAAAAAAAAAATTAAAATTCAAATTAACTTGCCTGCCAGTATGGTAAAATGTCAGTGGATCGAGCTTCAGCCTCCTTCAATGCAGTATAAACCGCATCAATAACCGGACTGTCTGAAGTAAGAGAGTCAAAATTGTAGTTGAACAAAGAGAGACCAATAACATCTAACGTCAGTTGAGAAAATTTCTCCTCCATGTTCACTGCAGAGCCATTAGAAACATGTGGTTCAAGATTTTCCACAAATCTCAAAGCGCATTTACAAAACACCTTATCGACCATCACAGACAGAAACTTCTTATGAAGAGAAGGAACCACTGCTCTTCGCCTCACCTAGAACAAATTTTAACAGAGTACCAATCATGTACTGGAATTAGAGGGAGCATGAAAAGGATTTTCTTTAAATAGAAGATCATATTTATGAGACACTCCCTTGTGATTTCACCCAAGAATAACATCGTTTGCAACCAGTTAACCCACTGCCACAAGATTAGTTGCAGACACTTAAGCTGTCAACACAGTCCCTGGCAGGGACAAAATAACTATGATGCAGACTTTTGAGGGGAAAAAAGAATTTGCCATCTCTCAAATTCAATGGTAACTAGGTAATCTTCAGTTCAATTGAGATATCATGTGACCTGGACATGACAGGTTGATGGGCTCAGTATGACAATTCCAACAAGCCAAAGTTGAAAGCAAGTCATTATAGGAACCAAGAATATGACAAAACTGGCTTAATGTTGTCAAATTGAAACACCGTGAAGTAGTAAAATGCATAGGACGAGAAAATTGAATAACAAAATGGTAAAGGAAACTTAGTTTTCATAAAGTCCCATGAAGTTTCCGATCAAAAAAACTTAATTCAAGTCTTGGGATGTATTTTACAAGGTGTTAACATTAGGATCAACTGATCAAGAATATAATTTATACAACATTGAATCTGTCTGTTGCTTCCTGTTAAAAGGTGCAAAACTTAACCATGAGTCCGGAAGTAATGTCTATTCTCTGTTAGAGTAAAAAAATTACAATTCACAACCTTGACATCAACTTCGGAGGTTTTTTATAGCGGAAGACGCCTTAAGATGATATTAGAGAAATCTAAGTTCAAATCTCACTACGCATGAATTGTGTAGGGTTTCAACTCATGAAAAGGACGCTCAAACCTCCCCCCACTTTGGATTCTTTGTACAGTGCAAAGGACTTTAGGTGTCCTACATCTAAACAGGTTTGATAATATGAGTGTTTAATATGTGATTAGGATCTAAGACCCAGGAAAACCTTTAGGGTTTAGAGCTATCTTAGTCTAATTAGTTAATGTCTCGTTGGTCAAGCTTCTATAATCACAAAAAAACCAAGAACTCGTAAACAACATGCTAACAATGCGAAACATTTCTTGATTATGTTATTCACCTACGACAAGCATAGCATGATGGGCTACTTATTACATACAACACTAAATTTCACATTATAATATCCAAATCAGTTACTATCCAATCATCTCCCTAATCAATATGGGACTAATCTTACACCTAACTTCCACATTTAATAGAACTGAATCATTCTAACAAAGCCCAACCTTCCTTTATTATATTTTCCACCTGGTACAAACATAGCATAATGCGTTACTTATCACACACAGCACTAACTCAATTTTTCACACTTAAACTTCCAACCACTCTCTAAGCAATACAAACTAGAATTCACATATCTAACTCAAATTCAAAGCTCAGAATCATCATTACCGTCCAAATCAGTTATACCATCCAATCATCTCTCTAACCGATATGGGACTAAATCTTACACCTCATTTCCACATTCGATACCACTGCATCATTCTAACAACGCCCCCGCATCTTTGTTGATTACATTATTCAATAGCATGATGGGTTACTCATAGTACACGAACACTAACCCATTTTCACATTTTAACATCAAACTCCCTCCCTCCCTCCCTCATTCTTCTACCCCCAAAGCATTCAATAGCATTTGATCATTCTATATCAACATCCCTATCGAACACCCAAAGCATTCAATAGCATTTGATCATTCTATATCAACATCCCTATCGAACAAAACTACGAGCATCTCTCTCTCTCTCTAATTCTTCTACCCCCAAAGCATTCAATAGCATTTGATCATTCTATCACAACATCCCTATCGAACAAAACTACGAGCATCATTGTAAACATTCGCATATGAAACTCAAATTCAAAGCTCAAGAGGCATCATTACCGTCCAAAGTCCTCCTTCGGCAATGGCGAACCCCGACCCAAACAAGAACTCCGAGACCTCCGCCACGAGCCCCTTCGCATACTTAGTCCCATAATTCTTCAGCACGTGCTTCGCAATCGCCGGGTCGCTGACGACCACGAAGTTGCTGGGGTCTCTGCTTGGCGCCAGGCCGGTTAGATTGGGCCCACACTCCTCCATCCACTTGAACAGAGGGAGGAAAAGGGCCCCACCGAGGAGGTCGGAGACGTCGTCGAGCTTCGCGCTGGCGGTGGGGATGCCGGAGCCGTCGTCGGAGGGGGAGAGAGAGCGGGTGAGGTTTGTTAGCCAATCCGGGCTGACCCATGACCCGGTAAGGGGGCTGCTGGGCCTGGGCTTGGGGGTCTTGGGCCTGGACTTGTTGAGGGAGGATGAGGGGTTGAATGTGAAGGGGAGGAGATGGGTTTTGATGGGTTTTGTTGGGATTGGAGAAGGGAAGGGAGAGAGGAAGGAGGAGGAGGCCATGGTGTTCTGAGGATGAGCTGATTGATGGGTTGAGAGAGCTGTTCATTTGTTGAGTTTTTGTGCAGTATACCCCTTAATTCATCCATATATTTGTAACAATTATCCCCCAAATTTCCTTATTTGCAAAATTACCTCCCACTTCATTGAGATTTGAGGGATAAATTTGCCAATACGTATGATTTAAAATTATATTCAAACACTGCTATTAGGGCATGTTTGTTAGCACTAAAATAGCTATGAAGTAGATGAAGTAGTTGAAGTAGAGGTCATTTTTGTTACTTCCATATAAAAAATTATGTTTGTTTCTCTATAAAAACTAATTCCGCTATTTCTTTAAAAGCCGATGTGGAATCTAGCTGACACCTCTATTTCCTTGATATTTTTCCTCCTTCGAATGTACTAAAATACGGCGGAAGTTGATGTAAGATGGGGTCCACAAGAAAAATGGTGGGGTCCACGAGAAAAATTTGATTCTCAAAATTAATTACTTCCTAGTAATATTTCTAAATATTATTCAAACAATAATAAAATAGAAGCAACATGTATTAATAACTTCCTAGTAATATTTCCAAATATTATCCAAATAAAAAAACTAAACGAAGAGGAAGAAGTTCTACTTCCCTTACTTCTAAAAATATATGAAACAAACAAAAAAATATTATTTCTGTTACTTCCTACTTTATAGTTTTAAAAGTTACTTCTATAACATACTTCTTACTTTCAATACTTTCATTATCCAAATGGGCCCTTATTGATAAAAGGACAGATAAATTACACTAAACCCCGATAAACTTTTAGGGTTTTGCAATAACCACCATGGACTTTTAAAATCAGACTAAACCCTTGATAACTTTTTGGAATTGCAGAAAACCCCATGAATTTTCTAAGTTTTGTATGTAACCTCAATAAATTAGAACCAAAAAACAACATAAAAAGGCATTTTGAAAGTTCATCAAGGTTTAATGTAATTTAGTCCAACTTCATGGGGTTTTCAGCAAATGTTATTGGGTATTTAATGTAGTTTTGAAAGTTCAAAGGGTTTAACACAAAATGTTGATAGTTCACGAGAGTTATTTACCCTAAGGGGATGTTTGGTTAGGTTATTTTATAGAAAATTTTTGAGAAAAGTTCTAACAGCGGCAGTTTCATAAATAAAAATTTTCTCACTATTTTTCATAAATTGTGTTTAGTTCAACCTTTAATTTACAGAAAACTTTTATGTAAAGTACAAAAAACTGTACATATGTATAGAAAATATTTTCCACTAAAAAAGAGTGGAAAACACTCATAAATCTGACACACCTATTATAATATTATTTAACTTACCCATGCCCATATTTTCACTGTCCCAATTGAACGAAAACATTTCTTTTGACCGTCACAAGTCAGAAAAATCCTAGGGCATCCTCATTCGTTCCAGCCCCCAAACCCATTCTCTCGCTCTCATTGCCAATTATTTCTGCCCCAAACCGCTTCAACTCTTTGTTCGTCGGCGTTCTAGGGCTTCACCCTTCATTCCCTCCCCAAAACCAGTCTTGAGCGGTCGAGGTTTCCTTACATCGAGCTCTCGTCGTCGATTATCCCCGCCCCCAAACTCATTCCATCCTCCTTCGTTCGTCGTCAGTGTTCTAGGGCTTCGCCCTTTGTTCCCGCCCCCAAATCAGATTCTAGGGCTCGAAATTTCCTTACCTTGAGCTCTCGTCCTTAGTGTTCTTGCGGCTACTTTGGGTTCCTCCGTGTTCCTTGATTATTTCAAGGCTATTGAGGTATAGAAATAAACGTCTAAACCCCCTTTTTTTTATCCTTGATTATTCTGTTAATTTTTCAATTGTGGAATTTGATTTTTTTAGTCGATTACTTTGGATTGATACTTATGCTCGTTGTTGAGCTATTGTGGCTGGTTTTTTGGTCACAAATTTGATTTTGAGCTTGTTTAGCTCTATGTTGTGGACTTTTGGATTGATACTTGTGTTCGATGTCGAGCTGTTGCCACTATTTTTTGATTACAAATCTGATTTTGAGCTTGTTTAGCTCTATGTTGTGGATTTTTGGGTTGATACTTGTGCTCGATGTCAAGCTGTTGCAGCTGTTTTTTGGTTACAAATCTGATTTTGAGCTTGTTTAGCTCTATGTTGTAGACTTTTGGGTTGATACTTATACTCGATGTCAAGCTGTTGCGGCTGGTTTTTTGGTTATAAATCTGATTTTGAGCTTATTTAGCTCTATGTTGTGGACTTTTGGGTTGATATTTGTGCTCGATGTCGAGCTATTGCGGTTGTTGTTTTTTTTTACAAATCTGATTTTGATTTTGAGCTTGTTTAACTCTATACTGTGGACTTTTGGGTTGATACTTGTGCTCAATGTCGAGCTGTTGCGATTGTTTTTTGGTTACAAATCTGATTTTGAGCTTGTTTAGCTCTATGTTGAGTTCTTGCTTTTGGCAATGATGATGACCAATTAAATAAGATTGCAAACTAATTTACAATGTTCATAATAAGATAAGGCGTTCTTTACTACGTTATTTGAACGCAATCTACGTGAACTTGTACGTTTCAGTTTAGGCAATCAATTTTGATAAAAGATCATTAGATAAGCCAAATTTCTTCATGAAAATATCAAACTAGTATTAATTCTTCATATGTTGGTTTCTGCGATATTTTTCGAGCATGCTGATTATAAAAAAGAAAAAATAGAGTCTACTCATTCGAAAATTATTAAAAGAATTTGTAGATTTTCCTAACCAAAATACATACCTTTGTATTTGATGAACTTAATGAGTCACCACAGTCTCTAACACTCTTACTCATATTTTTCAATTGTGAAAATTTTGTGTTCATGGATAGTTGAGAATAGAATGATTTTATAAGAGTCGAGAATGCAAAACTAACCATTATAAAGTGATAAATATGGTATTTGATACTTTTCTATAAATTTGGCATATGTAACCAAATAAAAGAAAAGGAAAACTTGACATTTCTATAAAGTAATAGGCACCATTTTCTTGTTTTGAACCAAGCAAGCAAAATACAAAAAATAAGAAAACTTATATTTTTTGAGAACTCAAAACTTTTCCTATAATCTTTTTAAGAAATACAAGGAAATCTATCTTTTGGGTGTTTTCATTTTCCTATAATTTATAGAAATTGAACCAAACACCCCCTAAAGGAAGGATGACTGCAAATCCTGTCAAAATTAAAAGGAATGTGATACTCAAATTCAACGATGTTAAAACATCTGAATTTGTTCCTCAAATCGCTTTATCTCTCAAATATGTTCTCTATCTTACTATCTTAAATGGTGTTAAAATTTTAATTCATTTTAGTGAAATTTCCTTTATATTCTTGTTTTAATCATGTAACTAAATAAAGCAGCAAAGTAAATCAATTTAATTTAATTTTAAAATAAATTGCATTATCCCTCCTTTATATATAAAAAGAAATTGGTGAAATACAAGACACAAAAAAAATGTCATGTGTTAAAAAAATTGTCATGTGGTCATCTATTTTAGCAAAAATTGACATGTGGATAATTAATCATCCAAGAATTCTAATAAAATTAAAACTTTCCATAGAAGATTCTAATAATTAAACTCCACTTTTATAATCCTATCTATGCCTAAGAATTCTTGTCAAGTTAAAATTATCCATAATTAGAAAAGTTTTAATAATCAAAGACCTACTTTATATATCTTATATATCAAGGTGTTCTTTGAGATTAGAAAATTATCAATTGTTCCCTTCAAAATAAAAAAACTACAAACAAACCCTCTAAAAATCCAAGACTCACAAATAACCCTTTGAGATTCAAAAAATACAAACAAATTCTTGAAAAATCTAAAAGTTTAAATAGGGCCATGAAAAATGAGAAACCTACAAACAACCCATTATGATTCAAAAAATATTCAATTGTGGAAACCGAAATCTCAAAAGTATCAAGCAATTGACAAACATGCTCTACCCAAGGATTCTAAGTTGTTTCCGATCGTATGATAGTTGATGCCTTCAATTAAACTCATCGGTGGGCACTGGTCCACAGAGCATAAAAGAAATATTTGTCAACAGTGATTTTACCGAGCATCAATTTCACAATTTTAACTAATCAAATAACAAAGGCAAACATAGAATTGCCACTCAATTACACATTCTTATTGGTTGGGAATGTGTATCTTATTGTATCAGCTAATTTTTGATTAATTTAGCTGGCTGGACTACTGTTATGATTAACAGTAGTCCATCCTTTCTCTCAAAAAAAACATAGAATTGCCACTCAATAGGAAATCCAATGATGCCAATTAATAAGCATAGATTATCATCATGTATTTAAGACATTGACATTCATGCCAACAATAAATACGGTATTAAAAAAAACAAAAAAAAATTCACGGAGTGACAAAAAAACACAGGAATTGTTAGAGCATCTCCAACAGCTTCCTCATCTTCTTGAAATACTCAAATTTGGAGAATATAGAGCTTTGTTTGGTCCAACAGATTCTCCATCTCATTCCCTAAAATAGGGAAGGAGGAGAAAAAATAGGGAGTCTTCCCCAAATCTGCAGCATTCTCCAAATTTTTTGGGGAGAGCTTTATTATTGTAATAAATGCGATTTTTTAAAATAGGGAAGCTGTTGGAGTTGGAGCAAAAATAATTTAGAGAATATGACTTTTGTTTCTCCATTTTGGAGAAAATTTTGGGGAAGCTGTTGGAGATGCTCTTACCCACCGAGTACCTGAGTGAGATTCTCAAGTTCAACGTCTAAGTCCGATTTCCAAACTCTCGAGACTAGGTACAAGGGTTTGCCTAGCATTTTATAAATAAGTAGTTACTCCAATTGTAATCCTTTTCAACCTTTAATTAATTCACGTTACCATGTTCGTCTATCTAATTAATTATAGTGTTGACTCGCTGTAAAATGCATCTTATCATATTATGTAACAAAGCACGTATCCTTGTGAAAAAAAATAGAAGCCGTCGAAAACTCAGACGGGACTGTAGGAAGTGAACCAGCAGCGAAACGGACCGAACCAGTCTGAGATTTATCCGAG